TGGTTTTTGTGTGCTTTTTGGAAATGTTTTCTTTGGATTTTCTTCTTTTGGTTTACCAGATCAAAACAATTAGATTTGATTTCCTATGTAATCAAGCATTCTGCTGAAGAATATGGCACGGATATCGCCAAGTTACTAAGAGGACAATATGGCTTCTTTGTATAAAATAAAAACATCTAAATTTAAAGTAATAACTGGCATGAGTCTATTTTGTTCAGGATAATAATGACATTTCCCAAAAGTCCCACTGCTACTATTTCCTCTGGAGGACTAACAGAAAGTTCACTTTATTTGAAATATAGCAGAAGAAACTAAGACATTTAAAAAACAAAGTGGTGAATGATGTTTCAACAGGGTTAGGGTTAAGACTACAATTAGCACAATCATATTATGGAGTAAACCCATTCAGATACTATTAAACTAGAGAAATTATTTCTAGAACATGCATAACATGGAATTTGAGGATAGGAATTGATAAAATATAAAGGAATATACCTCCATACTATCCCAATCAGCATAGTCCAAATCTCATTTATTGAGTTTAGTATAAAGCTCTAATGTGCGGATGCCAAACTCACAGCATCATATTGCCATCACATGAGGTTTTGTGACATTTTTTCCATTGGCAAAGCTGGGGTGAGTGTGGCCTGCTCTTGACACATCTGGTCTGCGGGCTGCCAATTTGACACCCCTTTGTAATGTGATGTGTTTCAGCTTGGCTTGGCATGTTACATGAATGTACCCAGTCACTATCATTTGCAGACCACCATTTATGACATAAAGCAGTGATGGCTAACCTTTTTGTCTTTGCGTGTCAAAAGTGCGTGCTGGGCATGATAGCGTGTGTGCCCACACCCATAATACAATGTGCAACGCAGTGGTGGATTGCAGGCAGTATGCCCCAGTATGGGCGTATTGGAGCCTGCCCAAAGCACTGGATACCATTCCGGTACGGTGCTCCGGAGGGCCCACCCGCCCGCCCGACCTCTATCTTTTAAGGCTTCTGCGCTTCCGTGCATCTGCATGGTGCGTACAGCACCTGCGCGATGCTCTGCTGAGCCTCTGGGGCGTCACAAAGGCTCGCGGAGGAGTAATACGCATGCTGCACTCGTCCCTGTGGATGCCGCCAGGCCCTTTCTAACCGTACCAGTTGGAATGGGATCCGGAACCCACCACTGGTGCACGGCCACCCGTGACCCCCCCCCACATCCCATTTAGCACCTAGCAGGCCTTCCTGAATCCTCCTGGGACCAAAAATGGGTGTAGGGGGGGCATCACACACCCTGCACTTCCCCCCTGTGCTTGACTGTGCTATTATAGGAGTTATGTCAGCCTTGTATGCAACTTTATTCCTCTCTAGCATTCATCTCCATTGTTCAGTGATGTATTTCTACCTCTCTAGGATTTACCACTACCTGCTCCTGTAAGACACTTCCTGTTCCTGTTAGATATATATCGATGGCTTGTGTAGTGTTTTGCAGAGACCCGAAAATCAGCTGGCTGGCAATGCATGCTTGGTGGAGCTCATCTGGGGCTTGGGTGCCAGCAGAGAGGCCTCCGTGTGCCACCTGTGGCACATGTGCCATAGGCTCGCCATCACAGACATAGAGTATTCTGTGTATCATTTGGGTTGATTTATCTGCAGTACATCAAGCCACTCACACTAAGCTCAATGGATTTGGCCTAAGTCTACGTTCCCTTTTCTGAAAGCCTATGCTGCTGAAATCCATTGAGGCAACATGTGTGTGGCGGCTAGCTATAAAGCTGGAAAACTCCACTTATGAAGTCTTGAGCAACAGTTCCTGAGTTGATGAACAGAGGAATAGACTTGAAATAGCTTTGCTTCTTTTGCATCTCTGGGGAATAGGGATTCATAGCTTTCAAGAGATACTAAAGAGTTAAACTGCTTTGTGGGCAAATGGAATAATCCTCATTTTTTTTCCCCTTCCAAACTCAGCTCTGTGTTTAAGCTTGATTGTATTGACACCTGCACTGGGAGGAGGGTGATGAGATGCTCTTCTTTTGTCACTTATAATAGCTCATCATTATTGTTCTAACGTGCTTTTAAAAAGAGAAGAAAGGGCGAAAACCCACGAAACCCTAATCTTCCCCCTTGGTGCTGGTGACAGTCGACAATGGTGAGATAGTTTGTTTTTCCCCAGTTCTTCTCTTACCCTGTCCCTTAACCTCCCATTGTCCCCACAGCCACAATATAGTGGCCTCGCCCGGCTGGTTAGGGTGCAGTTTCTTGTACTGTACTGCCCCGTGCTTGATTGTTTAAATCTTCCTTATTCAACTTTTTTTTTTCAACTGTTCTGAAGATTTACATTTTTAATGGCTCATTTATGTAATCCCATAAATAGAGGAGCAGCAAAAGCAGCCCCCACATCACAAATGAGCGAATCGGGGGGCCTAAGAGGAAAAAAAAAGCCGCTAGTGGGGGTCACCAGGGGTCTCAGCTGCGGAGGCCTTGATTGGTATCAACCCTCATAGCCACTGTGGCAATGGACTTAAGACCACCCAGTCAGCCCCCCAAACGGTGCTTTGCCAAGGAACAGGACGAAACTTCTATAGTTCCCTATTTATAGAGTTCTGCCGCAAAGACTCATTTACCTTATTGCTTTGACAGCTGCATGTCTCCCACAAAAAAAAATGTTGCCATGATTAACTTGCTTTTCTGCTAGCAAGCAGCTGAGGTTGTCAGGGTTTCCTCACATTTCTCTCTCCCCCCACCCCCACCCCCGTTTCCTTAAACACTATATCACTAGGCCTGCTGTATTCCTTTCTGTAGAGTCAGTGAATTTAACCACCTGTCCAACGATGCAGTTTGACTTCCTGGATAGAAAATTAAAAAGGAACTAATATTTGATGACTCTCCGTTCTTCTGCTCTTTGCTGCAGTACAAATCTTGTGGAGACTGTGAAATACGTTCAATCGGTTTACAGGGGTGGAGAGAACGGATAAAATGGCAAGTTGATGAAGCTAGTTTATCTTTAATAGCTTGTTCCATTCTCAGTGCAATTCTACCTAAATTGTAATGTTGTTTTGATTCCATCATTGATTTACTGTGAGAGGCAGGGAAGTATTAAAGCAGTTCCTTATATCAGTTGATCTAAAATGGCTGTTTTGAAAACTTTCAGAGGCCGCACTATGAATATGATGTATTTACAATATTCCACCTGACAATATATACAATTGAAACATGTAGTGATTAAACAGTATGGCATGTATATTTTGGCAACCTTCAAAATATCTGTAATATTAGGATATGTAAGAAATGCAGCTTTTGATTTGAAATCATTAATCCAATTGTATAAGGAATTAAAAAGCTGAATAAAAATTAGTATTATGTGAAATGGAATATACAAAATTGGAAAATAATTGGGCCCAGTCTTTAAGAAGTTAAAACATATTTTCCTTAATTTAACAATAAAATTCTTTAACAGAAATTCTTATTTTTATCTATTGAATGCTTCAATTGATTTTTTTTAAAGGCTGGATATCAGATATTTTTTGTGCTGGCATAAGTAACTTTAACATGTTTTAACTGATATTTGGTTTTGTCTAATTTTAGCTTTTATTTCAAATGAATTGTTAATAATATCATAAACTTATAAACATGATGGTGAAATATATTCCTAAAACATAGAATCTGCCATTTCATGAAAACCTCGGGCTTCTCCTCCTCCAAGTCATGGACATGGCAAGGAAGGTAATTGTATGTAAACTGAAAGAAACCTATCCCGATATTAAGAAATGGTTTCAGAATATGATTTTTAGCTATTTTTTGAAAAGGGTTTATGCTAGCAGGTGCTAAAGCAGCAAATAAAATAGGGTAGCAAGATAAGGAATAGGCTACTTTTACACACCACACATACAAAATACTTGTTATCTCTTATTTTATAACCTCAAGTGTTGGGCTCTGACCAGAATATTTTAATGAAGCTTATTGTGGAATATTGTGTCAGTTGAGAAGACAATTGAGGAAGGTATCTTTCAATTCTTGGGCACTTACGGTAGCTGATTCGTAGAATGGTTACTTGGCACATCTACCAATAGGCAGTACTAAGCGTACAGCACATTTGATACTAGCAAGCTTTGTGGTTTAACATTTGTAGTGGTTTTAGCATCTTGACTGATGCTTACCCTTCTCTCTGTAATCTGCCAGCATCTGAACTATCAATTACTGTATTACATGATTAGTTTCTCCTAAATACTTTTCTTATTCTTATTTTATTAATTTCCACCAGAAACAGAATCTGTCCTCTTGTTTTTAGCTGTTCTGAACTGCAGTTTAAAAGGCCTGGCAAATGTTAGCAGTTTGTAATTATCATTTCACTTCATCAACCTTGTATTTTATATCTCAATCAGGGTTTTTTTCCAACTGTCCATTCTTCTCTAATAAAGAATGTTTGATTTTTGAGTTTATCGGTTATTTACTATTCATGCTGTGTTATCAGTAAAACTGAAGGTGGATTTATACTATTATGCTGAATGGATGTGAATTTTAAATGGAACAGACACAAATATATGCTGAAACCAGTATGGTACCTGCAGATAGCTGAGGATATTTTCACTTTTATTTCAAGGATGATTGTCACTGACCAATTACTATCTAATTTCATTATTTGCAGGAAAAATACTTGAAATATAATAAAGTATCCATTATATAATAAGAAAATCACAGAGCTTGACTCAACTGTAGAAATTGCAATTGCCAATGTTGAACATCCTTCTGCAATTTACATATTCAGAATTTTAAAAATAGTACTCCTGAGATACAATTTTAATTCTCAATACAGAAAAAAAGGCTTCATTGCATTTATTAGCATTGAAATGCACATCATTTTTAAGTAGATGAATTCAAAAAACTTTACGATCAGGAAAAAAATTATGAATTCAGACATTTGAGTCAAAAGAGAACTTATTCACGTTGGTGTTGGGAAAAGTAAATCCATACATAATTTTTTTATGAAATGAATAGACAGATATTTTTCACCCAGAGTTCCATGTCCCCACAGGGAAGCTCTTTTATTTAATTAACTCAAGCTAAACAATTTATAATGTTTAGATACCATGTAAATCTTTTTTTAAATGAAAACTACGTTAAATATATTCAAGTTGAATAAAGTGATGGCCTAGAGAATTATAAAGATCCATATCTAAGAACAAAACATAAATTAAAATTGTATTAGGAACTTTTCTGAACAGTGTTACAAAGTGTATTTACATATTGTACTATATAGCAGGAAAAGATCATTTCTTACTGCACTGGAGTCAGTGGGAGAGGTTCCTTCTCTATGATTCTGATCAACATCAAACAGAAATCCATTCTCTAGGCAGTGAAGAAATATAGACAGCTGCCCCACACGTGGTCTAAGAGATAATTTCCAAAATATCTGAGCACAAAAGTCTTCACAATCATCAAAATTTAATTTGGGGTGGTATAGTAACAGAAAGGAAGCACAGAATCATTTTTTAGGTACATAAGGACTCAACTTTAAACTGTTACAACAGATATTTGTACTGAGCAATACTTTCAAATCAAAATTAAATGAACATTTCCCCAGAGTTAATACCTTAATTATATTCTTCGACATAATGTTTTTTTTCATTATTTGCTGGATTGCTTTTCATCCTTGCCCTTTGTGTTCTGGTTCCTGTGCTTGTGCCTGTGCCTAGGAGGAGAGTAGCTGACTCGTCTCCTAGACCGAAAACTAGGTTTGTAAGGATGCAGTCTGTGTCTCTTTGGTTTGGTTTCTTCCCTGCTCTGACTTGGCTCAGATTCCTTATTTTCTTCTTGAAGTTCCTGTTCTTGGTCTTGCTCTTTAGGTGAGTGCAATGTGTTCTTAAGAGTATTCATCAGAAATCTTTTATTTGTACTGGCAAGGGGGCACTTCATCCTGCGAAAGTATCAAAAAGCAGTAATATAATATCCAAAATGCACAAAAATTAAACATTATAAACATACAAAATGGGTACTACAGCTAATTTTTTTTGGCTTTCCTTGTATGCCACCTAGTGTAGACTTGAAGTACAGAAAGAAACAGTCAAGACACAGGCATTTTATTACAGGGTTGCCCCCCCTTCCCAAAATCAAAGACTCAATTTCTTCATTAAAAGTTATAGAATATCTAGTGACATCTGCGCATCTGTTACAAATGCAATTATAGTTATTCATGTGACAAAATAAATTCTAATAGAAGCATTTGCAACAATAAATTTGTTATGACATAAACCTTTGTGCTTTACTGTAAAAGATGTAACAGTTTTTCTTCGGCTATACTCAAACAAGGAATTTAAATCTGACATGCTTTAGCTATTCAGCTATACCCAAAACATTCTTATAAACCATTTATTTTTCTAATATTTGGTACGTAATTACTTTCATTCTTAGACATTATGAAATTAATTACCAAAATTGAAATTAAAATAATTGCAAAACAATATTATTTCAGAAATAAGTGACAAATATGTCACAACTACCATGTTTCCCCGAAAATACGACAGGGTCTTATTTTCTTTTTACTTACAAAATATGGCCTTGGGCTTATTATAGGGGAGGGCTTATTGTTTTGGGGTTGCCGGGCAGCTGCTCCCTTGCGAACTGGCTCCTGAAGAGCCAGGCACAGCCTCAGGGGCGAAGCAGCCATGAGGTGACCAAGCTCACGAGCAACCGTCCGGCAAACCCCCTCTCCAGCCAGGCAGAGCGCCATTCACTGACCAGGGGGTATCCCTAAGGTGCCAAGCCATGTGGCGCTCTGCCCGCTCCCCAGCTCCCGTGGCTTGGCACATTAGGGATACCAC